CGAGGGGCTGGAAGTCTGGTTACAGAGGAGACGAGCCCGGCGCGGAGCGGGCGGGGGGCGAGCGCAGGACCGCGGCCGGGGGCACCGGGCGCCCCAGAAAGAACTTCGCGGGTAGTTGCGCCCAAAGGCAGAGCCCGTCAGCCCCCGGGCTCCTTCGCCTCCCCCCGGAACCCTCGGGGCCGCTCTTCCCCGGCTCCGGGTGCCCACCTGCGGCGCAAACGGGGGTTTCCCGGAGCGCGTCCCGGGGACTGCGCAGGAGACAGCGGTGTCGGGAGGGGACATTAAAAATAAATTACAAAGTGAAGGCGCTAGGACTTGACGCCTGTCTTCTGAGAGTCCTGATTTGAATACCTTTGGCCCTCCGTTAGGTTTGTAAGGACTTGGTGTGTTTTTTACGGTCTCGGTCGGTACCGCGGAGGGCGGGGAGGGAAGGAACAAAGGCGGCTGCGGCGAGGCGCTCGGTGCGCCCTCGGTGGCTGCGGAAACTCGAGCCTCAGGCACTTGTTGAAAATTGGAGTGGATGTGGTTTTGGACTGGTTTTCCTAAAGTTTTGTTGTGCGTTTTTTTAAGATATTTTCAGGGCAGGCGGGTTTTGGAGCAGCCCTGGGATGGTCTGAAGGAAGGGGCAGGGGCTGAGGGCAGGGCTGTGCTGGGGTCCCCAGGGCTCCGGGCGCAGGGACCTCCCCAGCCAGTCCGCGTCCAGGGAACCGAGCTCCCCAGAGCGGACAGGAGCACGCTCTCTGTAAGTGGTTTCCTGGCTGAATTACTGAATTAAAGGTTAACTGCATATTGAAATAATTTATTAAACAGCAGGATTATGATTACATTTGTTCCAAAGCGTTTTCACTTCTCTCTTTTCCTTGAGCGCTGAAAGCAGGGCTGTGTCGCTGAGCGCAATAACCTGAGACCCTGGCCGGTAGCTGCCCGCTGGGCGCGCGGACTCCCCGGGCTTCTCCCCCCGGCGGCCAAGGGTTTCTCGAGCCCGCCGGGCTGGTCCCTCACGCACGCCTCCTGTGTTTTCTCCAGAAGTCCAATGAAGCAGCAGCCCTGGGAGGCTCCAGACCCCTAGGCAAAAATGGCTTTCCACGTGGAAGGACTGATAGCAATCATCCTGTTCTACCTTCTAATATTGCTGGTTGGAATATGGGCCGCCTGGAGGACCAAGGACAGTGGGAGCGCGGGCGAGCGGAGCGAGGCCATCATCGTGGGCGGCAGGGACATCGGCCTGCTGGTGGGCGGCTTCACCATGACAGGTAGGGTCGGGGCCCAGCTCCTGCTGCGTGCCCTCCTGGGCTCCCAGAGGGAGCCGGGGGGATCCTTCGTGTCCATTACATACGCATTTTTAAAAATAATTTTACATTCATTTAAAACAAAAATAAAATTGTTCAACTCAGAAGTATTCGGACAAAGTGACTCTGTAATTAACCACTGAACAGAAGATTGTCAGTGAGGCAAACCTGGGCTATCTGGGCGGTTCAGTGGGTGGAAACAGTAAAAGCCAAGAGGCAGGGACAGTGCCAAGGTGTCTCAGTCTTACAAGTTCGAGCCTGTTAGCTAATGCGATAGAGTCAGCATCTCCCTTGCTCATTGGTGCAGGCACGAAGCTGTGACTTTGCACAGCCTGAAACGGTGAGATCAGTGAACGCTCACTGGTGATGGTTTTAAACAGTAAATCAATCCAGGGCAACACGATTCCAGATTGATTGATGCCCTGGGTTGAAACCTAATTATCCCATTTAATAAACTAATTTCCTTACAGGAAGCAATCAGATGTTAGGAATCCACAGCACTGAAAGAAAAAAATTTTCAGGAACCTTGATATAAAAGGAAAAAAGTTAAGGCCTGCCTTAGCGGGAATCCCAGCCCCCATCTGCAGCCCTTCGCTGGAACGCCCTCTGCGCCAGGAGGGGCTGGTCTCTATTCTCCTTTGCCCAGAGGTGGTCCTGTTCAAGCGGTGACTTATTTCTCTTTCATATTCTTTTTGGTCATTGAAAATATTTCTGAAAAACAATTTAAAATTTTATTTTAATATTATTTGATACATATTTACCAACAAAATACTTTTCCGTTTAGAGTCTTATTAGGCTTGTAAACGTCTGCAACATAACCCACACGAACAGCAACTCTGAGTGCTCATCGGAAAATAGCCCATTGCAACCATATCCATACAATGCCCAGTTTCAGTCCTGAAGTGTAATTTAAAGTGATTTGCTCTCTATGTGAAATACTTTCCCAAACCAACCTATGAAGACTGTTTGGCCATCTGAAATGTACAATGTTCTAGAATAATTTGTGAACTATAGATTTTTCTTTTAGATATTCACACTTTCTTTTAACTCTGGGCCAAATGTACCTGGTTTCATTTGGTCTTTATGATCATCTTTGTATTTATATTTGAGCACTGTGAAAGGGGCCTGGGATTCAGTGAATACACCCAGTAACCTGGTTAACAAGGACCGAGTCAGGGCCAGACCCAGGTCTTCCGGGAGCCACGCCCAGGGCCTCCCCACAATTGGACCACTCTTAGCCCTCTTACTGGTTCCTCTTTATTTCTTTATAAATTTAAACAGTCTATTTTACCCTTTGTGTTTTGTTTTTTTAACATACACACACATATGGAACAAATTGTGCAAAATATTTTCTATGGTGCCTGATATGCAAAATTAGATAAATACAAAATCACAAAGAAAAAGAATCGGTCACTAAAATTTTGACATGGATTTCCCCATGTTTTCCTCCTATCACCCACCTGTTGGTGAACAGTGAGCACAACTTTATATTTCATTTCCATTTTTTACTGTGGCATTTCCTGTTTCCCTGAAAGACCCAGACCCGATTCTGGTGTTTGAGGTGGATGGAAACACTGTCACATCTCACTCAGATTTCTCCTGTTACAAAGAAAATGAAGAGCAACGCAAAGCAAAGGTGGTCATTTCACTAAAAAGCGTTGGAAAGAATGAATAAGCTGTTGTCTACCAAAGTACTTTGTTCATTATAAATTACTACAATGCTTTATTACTCTAGAAGTTGAACATTCTTTTAATTTTGTTCATAAAATAATATTTCAGAATTTGTTCTTTTATCATTTACAGTGATTTTTTCATTCCATTGGGCTGTTTTTTAATCTCTCTCATTTATTTCTCCTTTCCTTTTTATTGAATTTATTGGTTTGACCTTGGTTAATAAAATTATGTAGCTTTTACATGTACAATTCTATAGTGAGTCATCTGTATATTTTATCGTGTGCTCACCACCCAAAGTCAAGTCTCCTTCCGTCACCATTTGCCCCCCCTTTACCCTCTCCTCCCTCCCTCCACCCCACCCCCCTGCTCTGTTCTCTGTGAGGTGTGATTTTTTTCCCCTTAATCCCTTCACCTTTTCTCCCAGCCCCCAATGCCCCTTCCCTCGGACAGCTGTCCGTCTGTTCTCTGTATCTGTGAGCCTGTTTCTATTTTGTTTGTTAGTTTGTTTTGTTCATTAGATTCCACATATAAGTGAAATTATATGGTATTTGTCTTTCTCTGACTGGCTTACTTCACTTATAGTCTGTTAAATTATATAGAAAAACTTAAATTATGTTTTTTTATAAAGAGTCATGGTCTAGCTCAGTTTTAAAAGATTTTTTAAATCTCTCAGAACTGAAAAGAATCTTGATCAATATCATAATTTATTTAAAATCTGAACCATATTATCTAGCCCTTGTCAGATTTGTTGATTTTATCATTTTCATAAAAAATAAAAATTGAAAATGAAAGTGCACATAGTTTAGAAGAGTTCTCGTTCTAATTCATGAATCTGGCATGATATGTACAAGCGTGAAGAGCAAATGCTGTCCTGGAAGGCTGATAAAGTGGAGGGACGCTCACAGTGACGAGCAATGAAGCCTTCCCTTCTGTTACAGTGTCGAAGTCACTCAGGCACCAGTTTTCTATCTGGACGAGGGGAGGAGACCTGCACAATGAAAATGATTACTAATAAGCTTTGTGCGTGTAAGAGCATGAGAGCGGCCACCCTGCGCCATGGAAGGTGGCTGGCGTGGTCTTAGCCGCTCCAGTCGCCGGCTGGAAGTGGGAGATGCCGTCTCAGGTGCTGTGCCTGGGAGGACTCGCTTCAGGGCCTGGTTACAAACAGAGGGGCTGGGAGAGGGGAACCCTTTAAAAATTTCAGCAGGGCTTAGAATGGAAAAGACAAATGGTGGCTTTCTTATTTGTTAACACGCACACAAAAGCTACTATGAAGATGACAGTGGCTGCTAACTACGTGTTTGACCACTTCAGTGTTTTTACAGAAACTTTCCATTTAAATATACTTAAAATTTCTTTGCAAGAAGCTTTTTTTATGTCAATCCTTTAAAAATAATATTAACTTCAAAATAGTCTCTCTGCTTTGCTTTGTATTTGGATTTTTTAAAAAAAGCCAGATAGATTTTGGCATGAACACAAGAGAAACGCTTGTTTTCTGTAGTTTTATATACATATTTTTGAAACTTTACTTACATTATCTGAGATTTTAGAGAATTTTTCAGAGTTAAATTGTATGATACAGTTTAGAATTCAGTCTCATATCTGGTAAGCTTCTTGCCAACCTATGTTCCTCATAATTTTACACAAATTCTACATAGGAATTATTTTAAGTATTTTAACTGTACTATTAAAAATACATAAATTGCAGAAATTTAAGTGTTCCATTAACTTTAATTTTCAGCAAGAATCAAACATTATATTGTATTCTCAGAGAAAATAGAGTTTGTATATCGTCTTCAAACTTGTTTAAGCAAAATGTGGTGTGTGTGTGTTTTGAGGGGTTCCTTTACCTCTCCTTCAGCTACTATGCTACAGAAATTTTATTAAATAACATCTAAAAATATTTATTATTCTTTATAAAATATTAAATGTCTTACTAGGAGAGCCAGATTAGGACAAAGAATTGCAAGTGGAAATGCAGTCAACATTCTAAATTATTCTGAATACTAGTCTAGGTCCTAAGCGTATGTTGGGTACTTGGGAAGAGAGTGGGAAAATGTAATTTAAACGCACTTTAGACACCTTTGAGTGTCATATCTCTCTTCCTTTCACTCTGTTTACAACTTAGTTATGATTTAAAGTGACTCTGTTAGCAAAATGTACACACAACCGTCACTACACATGTGCACATGCACACACACACACACACCCCTTGAGGACCGTAGTCTTGATCAACGTGAACAGATCAATAAAATTAAAACAGCAGAACCTTGAAATAAAGACATTTGACCCATGTTATGAAGATTGGGAGGAAAGTTGTAGTTTTATTGAGGATAGAAATAATCATGCACAAAGTGGTAGTTTCATTGAGGATGGAAATAGTCATGTACAAAGTAGTTTCATTGAGGATGGAAATAGTCATGTACAAAGTTGCAGTTTTATTGAGGATAGGAATAGTCATGGACTATATTACATATGATCTCAAACTTTATGAGCTAATAAGGTCATTTAAAAGTGTTGTTGACTAAGTGGATTTAAAAAACACCTGGGGCCACCCTGTCCAATGGAAATATAATGAGACCCACAAATATAATGTTACATTTTCTACAAACCACATTAGAAAACAAAGAATAGTTTAATTAATGTAAATAATGGAATCTATTTAATTCAATACATTGCAAATGTTTTCATTTCACCATATAATCAATACAAAAAATTATTGTGACATCTTACACTTAGTTTTTTATACTAAGTCATTTAAATTTTTTTTAACATGCTAAGTCTTTGAAATCCAATGTGTATTTTATAGTCATAGAGTATCTCACCTGGACTAGCCACTTTCCAGGTACTCAGCAGCACCTGAGGCTAACGGCCACTGCGTTAGACTGAGCAGGCCTAGGGAACGACAGGGGTGCGAGGGCCTCCCTCACTTTCCATTCTCTTCCAGCCACCTGGGTCGGAGGAGGTTACATCAACGGGACGGCGGAAGCAGTGTACGTACCAGATTACGGGCTAGCGTGGGCGCAAGCACCAATTGGATATTCTCTTAGCCTGGTTTTAGGTAAGTGGACATTCAGACCTCAGCAACCCACTCAGTAAAGCACAAAGAACAGGGATGGAAATAACAAGTGAAATAACAAGTGAAACAATGTACACAATGTTATCAGAACTCTTTAAGTAGCTACTACCAGAAATTGGTAGAACATACTTAGATTATTTGATCTCTTAATTATGGAATATGTAAAAATATTCCCTTGATATTCTGGCTATCAGAACAGTGACTTTTTAAAAAAACTGAATGATGTATTTTTTCTTTCAAAAATAATGTGGCTATATTATTTAAAATGAATCAACTTGAATTGTACTTGAATTTCTTTTTGTAAATCAAAGTAATAAAAGGTCAAGTATATTATATACCAGAGTGTTCGTAACCTATTTTTGCACTTAAAATACTTTTACTAAATCTTGGGCTTAGAATATCTGAGTGCTTGCTTGCTGGGTGCTGCAGAAGGCACTTTAGTGGGGGCTGTGCTGGTCCACGATTGCTAATCCCCGTGCCTCAGATGCACCACTCAGCTGTCCTTCGGATGCAAACGATGATAAATGTACTAAGAAATTTGCCTTCAGTTGCTAAAAATATCTTGGTTCTACATTCACATGATATTTCAGACTGGTTCCTTAACATATATAAGTATTGTTAACAATTCATTTCCCTTGAAAAACTGTAACATCATAAAAGCTCGGCAGACTACTGAATTATGAACTTGTTATTTTGTCACAAACACTTGTTTGGTTTCTTTTAGGTGGTCTGTTTTTTGCAAAACCTATGCGTTCCCGGGGCTACGTGACCATGTTAGACCCATTTCAGCAGATCTATGGAAAACGCATGGGCGGCCTCCTCTTTATTCCAGCACTGATGGGGGAGATGTTCTGGGCGGCAGCTATCTTCTCGGCCCTAGGTAAGAGCTAGGGAACAGCGCTGGACGAATTCTGATGGCTCAGCATCAGATACACAGCTTCACTCTCTTCCTCCACGCCCAGGCCACCCCTGCCTCCCTCCGGACTAAGGCCACCGTCTCCCTGCTTGCGGTTTGTCCGCCTTCTGTAGTCTCCTCATGGGAGCCAGACTCAGCTTTCCAGAATGCAAATCTGATCATGTCCCTTTCCTGCTTAAAAAGCTTGTAAGCAGGCCCCTCGGCCCTTCAGGACTTAGCCTCTGCTCTCCTCTCGCCGCGCCCGGCCCCCCTTCCTTCCTTCACAACCGCAGCCCTTCCCTCCTGCCTCCGACACTGTGCAAGCCCAGGTGCCCTCTGCCTGGGTTTCTCCCTCCTAGTTCCTTTTTCACGTCTGCCTCGCGAACCAAAAAATGTCCTCCAGATCTTCTCATAGATGCCACTTGCTCAGAGCAGTCATCCTGAACAGGCTGGGTGCTTTTCCTATGGGCTTCCTTAGACACACAAAAACGTTGTTTTCAACAGACGTATCACTTTGTGTGATTACATGCCTGCTTATTTCACGCTCAGTTTTCAATCTCATAAAAAAGATTATAAATTTCTTGAAGGCAGGGCTATGTCTTAACAGGTATAATCCTATCACAAATGAATGAATAAACCATCCATATATATATATATGTGGTGTTTCCCTTTAGTTACATTTTTCTCTTTTTAAATTCAATTTATTGGGGTGATAACGGTTATTAAAATTATTATGTTTCAAGTATACAATTCTATAAATATCATCTGTATATTGTCTCTTTCCATCACCATTTATCTCCCCTTTACCTTCTAACTGCCCCACCGCCCTTCCCTCTGGCAATCCCTGTACAGTTTTCGGTGCTGGTGAGTCTTTCTTTTTTTTTCTTTGCTTAATTCCTTCACCCTTCTCACCCACCTCAAACCCCTTGCCCTCTAACAGCTGTCAGTTTGTTCTCTGTATCCATGAGTCTGTCTCCACTTCGTTAATTTATTTTGTTCATTAGATTTCACATATAAGTAAAATCATATGGTACTTGTCTTTCTCTGACTGGCTTATTTCACTTAACATAATACTCTCCAGGTCCATCCATGCTGTCTCAAAAGGTAAGATTTTCTTCTTATTTGCAGCTGAGTGAGCAGTATTCCATGGTGTAAATGTCCCACAGTTTTTATCCACTCAGCTACTGAGGGGCACTTGGGCTGCTTCCAAATCTTAGCTATTGCAAGTAACACTGCAATGAACACGGGGGTGCATATATTCTTTCGAATTAGTGTTTCGGTTTCCTTAGATATATTCCTGGAAGTGGGATCACTGGGTCAAAAGGCAGCTCCATTTTTAATTTTTTGAGGAACCTCCATACTGTTTTCCACAGTGGCTGCCCCAGTCTGCATTCCCACCAGCAGTGCACCAGGGCTCCCCTTTCTCACATCCCCGCAAACACTTTTTGTTTGCTGATTTATTGATGGTGGCCATTCTGACAGGTGTGAGGTGGTATCTCATTGTGTTTTTAATTTGCGTTTCTCTGATGATTAGTGAAGCTGAGCATTTTTTCACATATCTATTGGCTACCTATATGTGCTCTTTGAAGAAGTGTCCATTCAGGTACTTTGTCAATTTCTTGATTAGACTGTTTGGTTTTTAGATGTTGAGTTATATACTTTTCTTATAAATTTTGGATACTAAGTCCTTATCAGATGTATTGGAAGATGGGTTTGTCATTTGTGGCCTTTATTATGTTGAGCTATGTTCTCTCTGTTCCTACGTTTCCAAGAGTTTTTATGATAAATGAGTGCTGGATTTTGTCCAATGCTTTTTCTACATCTGTCGATATGATCAAATGATTTTTATCCCTCATTTTGCATATGTGGTGCATCATATTTATTGATTTGTGGACATTGTACCAACCTTGCATCCCTGCACTAGAGAACGCTTGTTCATGCTGTATGACCTTTTTAATGTATAGCTGGATTGGTTTTGCTAATACTTTGTTGAGGATTTTAGCATTTATGTTCATCAGGGATATTGGCCTATAATTTTCTTTCTTTATAGTGTCTTTAAGTAGTTTTGGAATTAGGATAATGCTGACTTCGTGAAACGAGCTTGGGAGTTCACCCTTCTCTTGAAATTTTGGAATAGTTTGAGAAAGATAGGTACTGGTTTTTCTTTGAATGTTTGGTAAAGTCACCTGTGAAGCCATCCAGTCCAGGATTTTGTTTGTTGGGAGTTTTTATTTTTTATTATTGCTTCAATTTCATTAGACGTAATCTGTCTATTCAGATTCTCTGATTCTCCCTGATTCTGTTTCGAAATAGTGTATGTTTTTAGAAATTTATCTGTTTTGTCCACATTGTCCAGTTTATTGCATATAGTTGTTCATAATATTTTCTTATAATCCTTTGTATTTTTTTGAGTGTCAGTTGTTATTTCTCCTCTTTCATTTCTGATTTTATTTATTTGGGTCATCTGTCTTTTTTTCTTACTGAACCCCCTTAAAGGTTTGCCAATCTTGTTTATCTTTTCAAAGAACCAGCTCTTGGTTTCATTGATCTTTTGTATTTTTTTTAGATTCTATTTCACTTATTTCTGCTCCTATCTTTTTTATTTCCTTCTTTCTACTCACTTTGGGATTTGCTTGTTGTTGTTTTTTTGTTTGTTTGTTTTTTAAGTGTTTTTAAATGTAAAGTTAGGGTTTTTTAAGATTTTTCTTGTTTCTTGAGGTAGGCCTGTAATGCTATGAATTTCCCTCTTAGAACAGCTTTTTCTGTGTCCCATATATTTGTGTTTTCTGTGTCCCATATATTTGTGTTGAGTTGTTGTGTTCTTATTTTCATATTTTCAAGGCATCTTTTGATTTCTTCCTAATCTCATTGTTAGCCCATTTATTGTTTAGTAACGTGTTATTTAGCCTTAATGTGTTTGTGTATTTTTCAGTTTTTTTCTTGTGATTGATTGTTAGTTTCATAACATTATTGCCAGAGAAGATAATTGACATGATTTCAACTTCTTAAATTCATTGAAATTTGTTTTGTGTCCTAACATGTGGTATATCCTAGAAAATGTTCCATGTACATTTGAAAGGGATGTATATTCTGCTGCTTTGGGGCAAAATGCTCTAAAAATAATCAATTAAATCAGTCTGACCTAGTGTATAATTTAAGGCCACTGTTTCCATGTTGATTTTCTGTCTGGAAGATCTATCCAATGATGTCAATAAAGTGTTGAAGTCCTCTCCTATGACTGTATTACTGTTGATCTCTCCATTTATGTCTATCAAGATTTTCTTTATATATTTAGGTGCTCCTGTGTTGGGTGCATAAATGTTTACCAGGGTTATATCTTCTTGGATTATGTGGTCTCCTTCTTTGTCTCTTACTATAGCCTTTGTTTTAAAGTCTGTTTTGTCAGATATCAGTATGGCTACCCCAGCTTTTTTATTCATTACCAATTATATGAAATACATTTTTCTATCCCTTTACTTTTAGTCTGTGTGTATCTTTTATTCTGAAGTGGGTCTCTTAAAGACAGCAAATACATGAGTCTTGTTTTCTTATCTATTCAGTTTCCCTATGTGTTTTGATTAGAACATTTAAGCCACTTGCATTTAAATTGATTATAGATAGGTACTTATTTATTGCCATTTTATCCCTTTAAGTTTTTCTGTTCTGTTTTTTTCTTCTTATACTTCTTAAATCAGGCCCTTTAACATTTTTGCTAATACAGGTTTGGTGGTAACAAACTCTTTTAGCTTTTTCCTGTCTGGGAAGCTATTTATTTGTCCTTTAATTTTAAATGATAGCCTTGCTGGGTAAAGTAGTCATGGTTATATGTTCTTGCTTTTCATCATTTTGAATATTTTGTGTCTTCTGGCCGGAAATATTTCTGTTGAGAAATTAGTTGACAGTCTTATGGGAGCTCCCTTGTAAGTAACTAACTGCTTTTCTCTTGCTTCTTTTATGATTCTCTCTTTGTCTTCAACCTTTGCCGTTTTAATTGTGATGTGTTGTGGTTTGAGCCTCTTTGGGTTCATCTTATTTGGTACTCTCTGTGCTTCCTGTGTCTTTTTCTTGCGTCAGATCAGGGAAGTTTTTGGTCATTATTTCTTCAAATACATTCTTGCTTTTTCTCTTCTCTTGAAACCTCTATAATGAAGATGGGTTGTGCTTCATGTTGTCCCAAAGTTCCCTTAAATATCCTCATTCTTTAAAAAAAAAAATGTTTCTGTTCTGATTTTGTGGGTTTTTTTCCTACTTTGTCTTCCAAATTGCTGATTTGATTCTTCAGTTCACCCAACCCTACATTTTATTTCTTCCAGTGTATTTTTTTAAAAAATGTTTTTATTGATATTAGAGAGGGAGGGAAAGAGAGGGGGCGAGAGAGAGAGAAACATCAATTAGCCGCCACCTATACACCCCCCATGGGGCCCAAACCTGCAACCCAGGCAGGTGCCCTGATCAGAAATTGAACTGGTGACCTTTCAGTGCATGGGATGGTGCTCAGCCACACTGGCTAGAGCTCCAATTTATTTTTGATGTCAGATATGGTATTCTTTTATTTTTTTTAAATATGTCTTTATTGATTTCAGAGAGACAAGAAGGGAGAGGGAGAGAGATAGATAGAAACATCAATGATGAGAAAGTCATTGATCAGCTGCCTCCTGCACATCCCCCACTGGGGGTCGAGCCCTGACGGGCAATCGAACTGAGATCTCCTGGATCATAGGTTGGTGCTCAACTGCTGAGCCACGCTGGCAAGGCAGATATGGTATTCTTCATTTTTGACTGGTTCCTTTTCATGGTGTCTATGTTCTATTTTAGGCTGTTGTAGTTCTCACTAAGTTTCTTGAGCATTCAAATAACCATTACTTTTAACTCTAAATCTGATACATTTCTTGCCTCTATTTCACTTGACTCTTCTTACAAATGGGAATAAAGGGCTTAAGTCTACAGCCAGACTTTCAGTGGTCAAAGCAAAAGTAAGATAAGATGAAATTCTTTCTATGTTATATGTTCTAGACTACAAATTTGTCTTCTGGTTTCAGTATTATCATCAGATCTGGCCTCTATAATATCAGATATTACTTTACACTACCTTTCATTTCTTTTTCTCTCAAACTCTTATATAATCTTATCTTATTTTTTTGGTCTCCAACTGTAAATAAAAGAATGACTTGACTTAAAAAAGAAGAGAATTTTATAGTTATAAAATACTGTAATAACTCAGTGAAAAATGTTGGACTTTCCTGGTGCTAGATAACAATACTCCACAACTATCATTGCACTTATGTTCTGATGAAAATATGTGTAAAAATGCACCTCCTTTGCTACCTTGCTCTCATTAGCTAAGAAACAATAGTAGTTTTTTTTTGTCATTGGTTTCAACACCAGAAAATATTTGTTTTAAGACAAACTGCCTACTGAGATATCAAAATGGAGTGGGCTGAACATCTGACAGAACACAAAATATTTATTCTCACTGAATAAAGGTGAATTTATATATCAGAGCCCTTAAGGAAGAATAGAGTTAATAAGCTGATATTACTAAAGTAGTTTGGAAATATAAAATGTAATAGCTAAACACTAAACTTCTCTGCAGTTAGTTATTTTTGTATATATGTGTGTGTCTACTTCTGTGTGCATGTCAATATATATATGAAATATGTATTGCCTCTCTCTACACATACACACACATCAACAATATGTACGAAAACATTAGTGCTATTGTTTGAAATATATGCTCTGATAAAGAGACTGTATGTCTACATTTTAATTAACACTTGTATTTTCTTCAAAAGTAATAGTTGGATGATTCAAAGTTAATGTTTATTAGAAACAACTTAAAATACTTAAGAATAGACAAATATAAGATCTATCACCACCTTACTGTGAGGGTACATAGTTCACCACTGAGACTTAGGAGAATCTTAAACTATCTTCTTGGTATAAATAGACAATATCCTTACAACTTTTTAAAGCAACATAATATTTACATTTCTGGTAGCTCAAATTCAGTGCATTTTCATAACTTTATTTACAGTATATGTATTTGTATGGCTGCATGAACAAATTAATATTTCACAGGAGATTTGGAAGCTTAACTTTGATTTTACTCACTACAAATTATGGAATTATTCAGAAAACATTTTAGAGAAAAATTTACCCCAATCTTAATAATGATAGAAAAATAGGTGACCTCTTTACAATCAATGAGTTAAAACCAAATGGCAGCATCTACTAGTATTCCAAATCTTTAGGTTTCTAGTCTAGTAATCTTATTTCTATAACATACAGACAGCACTGAAAAGAGGTAGGGTAATAATTACAGTATTTAAATATTATAAATATTATAAATATAAATATTTATAAATATTTATAAATATAAGTATTTCTAAATATTCATGGGATATAACTTAAAAATTTTATTAAAGTAGAGAACTAGACCAAAAGAAAAATAGCTACAAGTTACATCTAAAGTTTAAATGTGTAGTAAATAATTTCAGAAAAAATAATTTGCTCGATATATACGCAACTCAGTCAGTTATCCAAAATCACTTATAATTAAACTCATCATCACCCTTCAGCTCCTTACCAGGCTTTTCTTTTTATTAATTGGTTTGTACTCAAGAAAGAAATGTAATTTTGTTTCCAAAGCCAAAATACTAAGAATAATTTGTTTGGAAAATATTATGTAATATCTTAGATAAAAATATTTTGGTTTTTTTTGAGATAATGGATTTTCATCTCTGGTGGGTTGCATATACTACTAGAATATAAGATTACAATTAAAAATTACAGATTTGTTCCATGTGTGTTGCCTTGCTATCACTGCTGCATTTAATAATATGAACTACAAACTTTACAGCTTTTAAGAACAACATAAAAGGTTTGTAAAGCAATAAGTAAATTAAAATCGGACTGTTCAGGAAGCACAGTGGTCTAACTGTCCATCCCATAATATCCTCATTGGAAATATAGACACAAACAAACACGATGAGCAAAGTCATAAAGTAAGAAAAACATAAATTTGATTTCTAAGACAGATTTAATTTTTTTTTAAAATATATCTTTATTGATTTCAGAGAGAGGAAAGGAGAGGGAGGGAGAGAGGTAGAAACATCAATGATGAGAGAGTCACTGATCGGCTGCCTAGCCCGCAACCTGGGCATGTGCCCTGACGGGGACTCGAACCCTGATCGCCTGGATCCAGGTCGATGCTCAACCGCTGAGCCATGCCCGGCCGGGCCAGATTTAAAATTTTGATGGTGAAAATTACTTAAAACTATGGTGTTGGGCCCAGCCAGTGTGGCTCAGTGGGTTGAGTGTCATCTCATGCACCAAGAGGTCACCAGCTCAACTCCCAGCCAAGGCACATGCCCCAGTTGCAGGTTCGATCCCCAGTGGGGGAACGTGCAGGAGGCGGCTGGTAGATGTTTCTCTCTCATCAGTGTTTTAATCTCTCTCTCCCTCTTCTTTCCTCTCTCTCTAAAATCAATAAAAACATATTTTAAAAAAACTAAAATTAAAACTATGATGTTCAAGTCTAGGGCTCTTCAATACACTGTTGTCCAAGGAACAGGACAGAGTGCTCCACCAGTAAAATAAAATAAGTAACATAAAATAAAATAGATCTTTCACAAAGTCGAAAGAGAAAAAGTTAATAGATGCAATTTGCCAATTTTGTTTTTTTCTCCTACAAATTTGTTTCAAACTTTGGTATCTTATACCATCTGCCATCTAATAAAGGCTATTAGAGGTCAGAGTTAATGCAAAACAGAGGATGAATATTAATTGTAAGATGTAGAGATCGGTTATTATGCTTGTCATAAAGGGTTGTTTTCTCATAGATGTGAGTAAATATATTGCATATATTTAATAGTAAGTTGGAGTTTTCAATAGTTGGTGGAATTAATGTAAGTTCTTATAGTAGAATTAAACTTAATATATTTCATGGAATTCTGAAATTGAATCAGGAATTTCAGGTGTCACATAAATAAGTCAGTAAAGCACTGATTTTTAATTTAGAAATATATGTACGTATATACATATATGTACATGCATGTTCAATTTCCTGAGATTTAAAATTTTCAATATGAAAACTAACTTTAGCTGTCAGATTTCATATGACAGGGGAAAAGTATCTGCTGTCACTGAACTCTCAATGTGTCTTTGATAAGAATTGGAATCCATTGCGCTCCTTGACCGTGGCCTTCTGCTTGTGTCCGCCAGGCGCCACCATCAGCGTGATCATTGACGTGGACGTGCATGCCTCTGTCATCGTCTCCGCGTTCATCGCCATTCTCTACACGCTGGTGGGCGGCCTCTACTCCGTGGCCTACACGGACGTCGTGCAGCTCTTCTGTATTTTCATAGGACTGGTAAGTGGGGCCGTTCAGGTTCTCTCTCCCCCCTTCCCTCTTTCTCTTCCTATCCCTCCCTCTCCCTCCCCTCCCTTCCCTCTCTTCATCGCTATTTGGGGCCTAAAAACAAAGAAAAAGGCTGAATTATTATGTCAGGCACTAAAAAGATGTATTATGTGTTGCATATACATCCTAGGTTAAAGTAGACAATATATTTGTGTTTTATGAAATAAAAAGTACTGTATAATTAATTATGAGATATGAACATTGTTAGTGTTATATTAAAAGCACTTTTGTGTTACAAAACACATTTTAGTCAGTTTAGCCTTTGCAAACATCTTAAAATGTGACCATTGTAATTATACATATAACAATCTCCACCACGTAAGACGTTTGGAAGGAAGTATACAGAAAGGGCATGTGCACTGGGCTGGGGCTGGGGTGGGTCCCCACGTGTCCAGGCCGCAGCTGTGGATTCTGTAAGAGCGACGCCCTGTGCAAAGGCCACGGGCAGGGTGAGCTAGGCCTGCCCGTCACAACTTGTTCCCCACGGCTGATCAAAGCACCTTGGTCCTTCTCATGATGAAAAGCTTCTGACTCCTTTCATGTGTATACTGGATACATAAAGAGGAAAGTGAAGAATGAATTTCATACCCACTTTTGTTTCTTTTGTTCTTACTTTCTAGCATCTCTAATATACAGGAGAAGGAAAATTTAAAAGAACTAATTATAATGTCGCCATAAATTTACACATGCTAGCGATGATTATAATATTTTCTTTTGGACATTTTAATTGCATTTCACCAAATTTTACTTAAATACAAAAATATTTAGCTTGCTCAAGGACTTCTACACTTTTATTTGTAAATATCTAAAAGCAAGTGACTGATGAGATTCTGAATTTTCCTACATCATCATAAACTTCCAGAAATAAATCTCTGCTCTGAATGTCGGAGGTGAGGTTAGCTTGGCCCTGACAGCTCTCATAAAGGATGCTCTTGGTGTTTTAGTAAACACAGCTCCAGGGGACAAATCTGTGTATTTACCATGTATTGTTTTGTATTAGACCAGAACTTAAAATACACAAGTGCTCAGATCAAATGCAAATATAACCATGACAGGGCAAACATATGTAAGGATACATGTTAGAGCCTTTTTCTGCTACAAAATGTAACTAATTGATAAGGAACCAAGTTCTGTTTGTTACTACTTAGGGCCCTATTAAATTGGTGGAATAAAAAGCCAAATACAGTTTGTTCTCTGAGCTTCAAATCATGATACATACATATATAATGAATCAACTTACAGCATAAACCATCTCTTCTCAGATTCCCTAATTCTGTCCATTTTATCAACATCCTACAACTGTAAACTTGAGGCTCATATGTTAGTTTTCCCCCCTTCTGAACTCTTTCTTCCTATTGTAATAGAAGACTGTTGAACCTCTCTTTATAATTCTTTTTTATAACAATATCTTTTCATTTCCAATATCATTACTCAGCTTCAGGATTTTATCTGGGTTGTATCAGTGCCTCCTTACTGCTCTTCCTGACTCCTTCATTTTTCTAAACTCACTGTTCATATTTTTTAAACGCAGAAGAAGTTACTTTAGCTTCTAGTTGTAACAAAACAAATACAAATCTCTTAGCTTGCAGTTAAAGGCTCTCTCCTCATATCTATCTTTATTTCTCCCATTTCCCTAAGCTGTCCCCATGCAAGCAAGGCTTCTGACCCAACAGACGTGCACACGCCTGTGTACAGCCCCCCCCACACACACACGCACCCCATTTGTTCTCCTCTTTGCCTTGCTCCACCTAGACCACCTGTCCCTTCACTTCCTTCTTCTACCACTTAGGTGCTGGGCTCACCTTTGAAGTCTTGTTTCCACCATCAATTTCTCAATCAAGTTGTTTCTTGTCACTTGAATGAATAGATATATTTTTCTAATTTAAAGAAAACATAAAAAGTTCATATATGTATGTAATGTTCACAATTTTAATGTTTTCTCCTATAAGTTCCTAGTGACTTCTCCTACAGTTGATATTATTGGTATAATTAAACACGGACGTAGGCAATATGTTACTGTAACTTTTCTAAATCAGCATTTCATGATGTTCCCCAAGCAGGATTCCAGGCTCTCTATCTGAACGGGAGGAACTACTGAGCTCTGTGGTCTGTGAGAAAAAACAACTAGGTGGCTAAATCTTGCATGTATTAAACAGCTAAAAATCATTGCCTAACACTCTATCGTCACTGTTTGGTTGCAGTGGATCAGCGTCCCCTTCGCATTGTCACATCCCGCCGTCACCAGCATTGGGTTCACCTCTACACATACCAAGTACCAGGCTCCTTGGCTGGGGACCATCGAATCGTTTGAAGTCTACACTTGGCTTGATAGCTTTCTGTTGTTGGTAAGTAGTGTCTTACCTGAGGAATGCAACCTGATTTCTCCTAAAATCAAATGCATTTTCAAGATTTTGATGTTTCTATGTAAATGTCACCTACAGGCTCATGTCTGGACCTACTCTTTCTATTGGAAGGAGGCAGCGACGGGCAGACTGTGTAGCTGCCTGGTGTCATAGTGGAAAGCAAGCGAGGCCTTAAGGGGATAGTGCCCATGGGACCGTGTATGCACATTTCTGTTGTACCCTAAATGAACCCTGTGCCGCACCCAGATAGCTCTCCAACTGAAGGCCAAGCCACCCAAAAGTTTTCATTTGTAGTTTGAATAGGCATTAAAAGCCAACTTCTTCTGAAATAGTTAGCTCATTTGGTCTCTTCATGGTAAGTGAATTAGAGGTGCTTGCGGCCTTAAGGGTCTGAGATAAACTGGGAAAGGGGTCTTCAGAGAAGAGGCCTTGGGCAGTCAGAGGCGACCTGGGAAACAGCGGAACCTGAGGGCAGAGGCACTGGCAGAGAGAGGTGGGCACAGATCAAGGCAGATCGCAGGCTCAGGGAAGAGGGAAAAGCCAAAAGAATCTGCCAGATTTTGTGATTTTGCTAATTAGAGGGATTCTGTATAAAATAAAACACTTAATTTTCATATCAAAATTAAGGGAAATTATTTTTTCTCCTCTTTAGAGGAGTCACGGTGTGCTGTGATTGCACTTTGTCTTTGTGGCACTTTGCTAAGATTTAGCCCTGAAGTTAGACGTATCTGTCTCAGTAAAGAATTTTCTGGTAGGAAGGCAGGAGAGCAAGAAGAAAGGAGTTTCCTGCGGCCGTCAGGGGTCTTTCCCAGGGATTCACAAGAGATGTGTCAGCTGGCGCTATTCCTACGTGGTTTGCAGTTCTGGATTTAATGGAGAAGGGAATCAAACTGTACATGTGTGTGCAACTGAACCTGCATGGCAGCTACATTTATGGTCCTACGCGATGATGAGAATCGGAGAAGCTGGGCCATGTGTTATAACCATCCCAGATCTGCTCACCTTCAAGATCAATGCCTCTAAGTTTCTCCACCTCAAAAAGTTACATGATGAAGTCATGGTCATTCTTTAAATTGTAAAATAAGCTGAAATGAAGTAATAGATGCTTAGTGAACGAATGACTAAGGTGTAGAAGCCTTGAAATGTTTCACCAATGGTCTCTGGCCTTCCAATTGTCAGATAAATGACTTGTCAGGTCCTGCTCATGGTGCCTTCGAGGTGTCTCTCAATCCCATCCTGACTGCCCGCTGTCCCTGTATCAGCACTAGCGCAGGCTGACCGCTTTTCTCTCTGCCTGTTGCGATCGCCCGTCAGTGGGCTCCCTGAGGTCAGCCCACGCACCTCTCACTCCTCCAGCCCATTTCCACCAGCCATCAGAGCTCCTGTTGGTCAGTGGAGGTCAGAGTTTACCCTGCTTGTGACCTAAATGTCCATAGTGATCAGTATGTAAGTTATGTATCAGTTGATATAATCATTGATATTTTTGAGCAATATGCATTTGCATGGAAGAGGTTAATGACGTTGATTTACAGTTTGCAAAACAAAAGGAAACATTTGGGAAGGCTATATGGGGTAATGCATTTTAGAACTTTTTAAACTTTTTTTTTACTTTTGAACATGTATGGATTTTATAAGAAGGGAATTGTTCTGGAAATGGTATGTGCCAGGCACTCTGATTGGCACAGATGTAACAATGACAAAGAAGGTGGACATCCCTTGATTTAGAGGCCGGTGAGAGAGACGGGCAATTAAAGGATCAAGTCAATACTTTGTGCTACGGGAAGCCCATTCACAGTTCACGCATTCCTGTGGTATATGTTTATTGAACCTGACTGTAGGCCCTTGGGAGGAGCGTGGCAGTAATGAAGGGGCAGGGTTTTCCCAGCCTCCCCTCTGGCCTCTCGCACACACCCCGCTTCCAGTCCCACGAAATGCGCAGTGTTCTCAACGCAGCCCTTTTTCTTTCTTCTCCCATTGGATTCGCTGCCAGAATCTCTATCACTGTCTCGTGACGCCCTCTCAGTGCCTAAGGACTTATTCAGATGTTACTGCTGTAGGTTTTCTATTTATTTATTTATTTATTTATTTTTTATTTATTTAAATTTATTTTTATTGTTGAAAATATTACAGATGTCCGTCTCCTTTCCCCCCACCTGCTCCCGCCCTGTCCCACCCCCCAGGCTTTCACCGCACTGTGTCTGTGTCCACCGGTTTTGCATATATGCATATAAATTATTTGGCTAATTTCTTCCCACCCACCGGCTGGGAAGGAGTTCATCACCACACCAAACCAGTACTACATAAAATGTTGAAGGGGCTTCTTTAAGAAGCAAATGAACAAAATAAACTGACGAACCACAGCAATATGACTTTTAGGGATGAGGTAAAATGAGTATAAATAGAAATTCTGATAGCTGTGATGCCGACTGCATGGTCCGGAGCCTCTGCACAGCCGCTTAGGAGCAGCTGCACTGCCTCCCGGGGGCCAGCGGGCCAGCGCAGAGCTGTCCCACTCATCCTGGTGCCCTGGCTCCAGGGCCTTCCCTGCACAAACTGGAGTCCAGGAGTATGCACCGGGTTGTGTGGATTCAGATTTTAAAAGGCCATATTTTCAGAATCTTAATTTTTGAGACAATTTTGTGATGGTTAGGCCCCCAGATAAGAGCAAATAGGCTTCCAGGAAACTGTCACGCAGCTTAAAGTAGGTAAGTTTAGGAAAAGATGGTCCTGTGTAATTAATTACAAAGGAAAAGGACCGGAAGGGATTCTGCACACTTGTAAATACGACAAGGGCATAACAGGGACAATTGAGGGGCGTGGCCCGTGGGGCCACTCTTTACACTTGGGCTCTTCTGAGTGTGACCCTGACGCAGCCTCGTGGTAAGGGAGCCTGGGGGCCTGCCCTTCTTTCTCAGTGCCTGTGGTTCCCTCGCAGATTCTGGGTGGAATCCCGTGGCAGGCCTACTTCCAGAGGGTCCTCTCTTCCTCCTCAGCCACCTACGCGCAGGTGCTGTCCTTCCTGGCGGCCTTCGGGTGCCTGGTGATGGCCATCCCAGCGGTGCTCATCGGGGCCATTGGCGCGTCGACAGGTAACGCTCCCGCAGCTGCACCGATCGGCCCACTCGGGCTCCCGCAAGGTTACCAGTTACCAGTTACCGCAGATGCCCTCCTCCCACCCTCCCTTCCCCCACACAGCCCATCGCTTCTCACCATCCTCACCAGATTATGTATATATGAGAAAACGTTTATAAGCACCCCCATCAACCGCGTGTATGTAATCCTGTCAGCAGTGGGACTCAGCCAAGGTGCCCATCAACATCATCTGGGGAGGAGGGGGACTCTTTAAAAAATACCTGTTTCTCTCTCACTCTGCAGGGGTTTTATTCTAATAATCCAAGATAGAGCCGGTGAGCACGGTTTTTTAAAGTCCCTTTCATGAGTCAGAGGGCAGCCAGAAGCTTACCTGCCATTCTGACGGCCACTTTAAACCTGAGAGTCCTGCTCTGCCTTTTTAGTAGTTTGTTAATTAAGCTTTCCTTCTTTGCGAAATCAATCAATAAGTGTGCAGATAACGATAAACGAAGGCACCTAGTCACTTAGAAAATAACTTTCTCAAAATTGGTAAGAAGAGCGTCGGAAGAGGCTTACCTCCCAGGTAGCCTCTACCTACAACAGTTTTAAATTTCACCCTTAACTGTATTGAACTTACTGATTATTCCTGAGCCTTATGTTCCCATGTTATACAGCTTTTGAGTATTTTATGCAAATATGTCACATTAGCCCAAATTCGAAGGAGTCCTCTAGGTCCAGTGTGTTAACACCGATAGCAGAAGTTGGCCTTTCACGCTGTGTTTGTAAAGATTATCCAGGATGGTACTCACACCACGCCTACTCTGACTTGCAGTTAGCAGAGCTATCTATTGGATGACTTAAATTTTAAAAGAGCAGTTATGGTTCATACTCTATGTTTTCTACTCCAGTTGTGTGATGAGAAAACAAGTCTGGCCGTGTGTGTGCGCGTGCGTGTGTGTGTGTGTGTGTGTGTGTGTATGTTGCAGAACAATAGACTGAAAAAAATGTAAAGTTTAGTTTTTTTCCTGGATTAAGTGCACGTTTTTGGTGGTTGTTTCTGGTATCATAACATCTCAGTTAATGCTAAAAATTGGGGTTCATCAAATCGTGGCTTTGAACAATTTTAATGGAAAATGGGGGGAAGAGAAAATGGCATGATCCAAGGGAAAAGACTCCTATTTGATTCTGTAAATGTGACATTAAAGAAGTTCCACAAATAAAAAAAGAGCTATATTAATGTACATATAAAGAATTTATTGTATTCTTTAGCACATGCTAGTACAGCAGCCCCCCTTATCCATGGAGTATGCATCCCAAGACCCCCGATGGAGGCCTGAAATTGCAGATAGTACCAAACTTTATATAATAAGTCCTCACTGATGGGTCCTGCGACTTTAAGCAAAATGACATATAACAAAATCAATTTTACCATAAGCTAATCGATAACAAGCAAGGGTTAGGTTCCAATTGTATCCCATCACTAATATAACAAGACAACATTGAACACGATGACATTATTCGAGGGCCTGATGTCTATACTGTTTTATTTCATACATACACACCTAGGATAAAGTTTAACATAAATTAAGTACAGTACTAGATTAACAACTAATAATAAAATAGAACAATTATAATAATATACTGTAATAAAAGTGATGTGAATGTGGTCCTTATATCCCTCAAAACAGCCTATTGTGCAGCACTCATCCTCCTTGTGATGACGTGAGATGGTTCAGTGCCTACCCAATGAGATGCAGTGAAGTGACTGGCCTTGGCCTTGTGACACTGCATGGGGGTTACTTACGCGCAAGCAGCTACTGCGTGACTAATGGGTGGGGAGTGGATACAGCATGGACACACCCCTGGCCAGTTGGGGTGGGACAGTGCAAGATTTCATCAGGCTACTAAAACGTAGTAGGTTAAAACTTCTAAGTGTTTTATTTCTGGAGTTTTCTATTTTCGGACTGCATTTGAGCTCCAGTAACTGAAACCATGGAAAGCAAAACCACAGATGGGGAACCACTGTATTAAATACTGCATTAAACCACTGTATTAGCCCACTAAATATTAAAGGAGCTATCCAGTCAAAGATAAACTTATGTTTCAAGTCCTTTTACCGCAGAGCCCAAAAACCTGAAAAGTTCAGCTTTCTATCTGCACTTTAAAAAAATATGTATATCTTGATTTCAGAGAGAGGAAGGGAGAGGGAAAGAGAGAAACATCAATGGTGAAAGAGTCATTGATTGGCTGCCTCCTGCATGCCCTCTACTGGGGACCAAGCCTGCAACCTGGGTGCTGAACTGAGATCTCCTGGATCCTAGGTCGATGCTCAACTGCTGAGCCATGGTGGCTGAGCTGTATCTGCAATTTTTAATCAATAAAAAGGGGCTTCCCTTTATCTATCAAACTTCCTATTTCTAGTCAGTGAAAGTCAATGCAAGAAGGAATTTAACTGGGGAAAAGTAATGCCGAGGAAGCTCCAGAACCAAGTTTATATACAGGGAGAGGATGGGTGGTAGTAGCCCCAGTATGGTCTTCATCCACTTGTGCATTTATAACTGAGGACTGAGGACTGAGACGTGGCGTGTCTGTTCACATCTTCAGATGATTGAGGAAATAATCTATACTTCAGTTCATTTTCTCTATGATTCTGTACAATGAATGCCACCATTGCAGAAGATATGGGTAGGTAGATAGATGCTGGGTAGCTGCTAGGTAGGTAGATGCCAGGTAGAGAGATGATTGGTAGATCTATCACCACCACATTCTGCGCAGGTCTTGTGAATAAGACTAAGGGTAACCTAAACCCTTTAGAGGCCAGGACCTATAGGACAATTTCACTTGACCCCGTACATGGACTTCCCACCTAAGAGACTAACATACCTAGTTAGAATAGTTAGACTTCCCACCTAATGGACTAACATACCTAGTTAGAAT